TTTTTTTTTTCATTTGCTGGATTAAAGCCAATGTAAACCAAATGCGTACACAGCTTTTGATGTAACGCACATTGATTTTGAAGCAGCCTTAGCGTCAAAAAAATATTCACAGCGCTGCATAAAGAGTCTCCCTTCACTTGCGAGAGAACTACGAAACGTTAACTGCTAACTGGTCTTGTTCAATGCATCCACACTGGAACCAATACGTGGAGCATGGCAAATGGCCAATCCTCGGTAAATTGGGCTGTTAGACAGTATGGGCTCAACGAGCCTAAGAGTCAGAAGTGTATTTTCTGCGTTTGCATTTCAAAAGCTTACCTTCAGAGTATCTTCCGTTCCTTCTTTCTAGTGATCGGGATGAGGAGACCCTGGGATAGGATAATTACAAAATACGCAACAATAAGGTTCGTTATGCGCTGAATCGGATTCTCAAAGGAAAAATATATTTTGACTTAAAAAACATAAAAAAGTGAACCAATTGATCGGTGATCGTTGAAACATGCATATGCTCTGGCCGAGCCTGACACTCTTCATCCAGCATTATCGATGGTGTCTGCGGTGGAGAATTCATTTCTATCGGCTAAAAATCTCGTATTATTGAAGATACACGAAAATTTTTCGATTTCAACGATCGGGATCGAATGTCTTGAGCACGTTTTATTTGTATACGATAAAACCCCAAGATAGATTTTGAAGGTTTATTCTATTTACAATTTACGCTGAGAAGCACTTTGTCTGATAGTGAGTGATTCTGACAGTAGAGGATTTGCTGAAATCACTTCTTGTCGTAAAGAACCGACTCCAATAACATTCCTCTGCGCTTTTCTCGCAAACAAAATCGTTTTACAATTGTTTCTTCTTTTTGAGAAACATGGAGGATGGGGATGGGAGGGGAAGAGAGGGGGAGGGGACGGAATAGTGGAGTTGAAGGGGTGCTGCACTTTTTGCAACGAGAACATACGAAAATAATTAGCGAAACTTTTCTGTGACTTTGTGATTTATTGTGAATACAATCCTTACTCAGAATTAAACCACTGGCAAATTTTCGCCTGCAAGCGGAATTTGCATAAATTGAAACCCGCCGAAAAAAATTCAAAATTTACCATTCGATTCGCTATGCGCTCCTTCTTCAGCAAATGCATATGAGTTTTCATGCGTGCGATTTCCGCTTCTACGGATCGTTTTGCGCTTAACAACTTCCTATTTTCGTCCTGAAACACTTTTTGATGACAAGGGATTTCTTTTCAGAGGCGGTATTGGGAACACAAATTTTATGCTTTTTTTGCGCATTTATGCAAATGCAAAAACGCATATTGATTTTTTCCAGTTACATTCATGCAATGCCAGAGGACAAGAATGCTCCATCCATGTTGAAAGTCGACGATTCGACTCCGCCGGTGGAATAACAGATCCATTTGCGATTCGTTCATTCGTTCGATTGTTAATTGGTACCGACATATGCCAAGACAAACCCGCCGTCGACCTGTTCTTGAGCAATTCTCACGAGAGGTAAGCACGAACAGATTTGCTAGCGAGCGGTTGCTTTTGGGAAATGTTATATCTGTGACTTTTTCCGGTGTATCACTGCCTTTCACGGAAATCATATATGGGGGATTTTCAGCATTCACATAATACCCAATCTTCTACCTCTTTTGTGTTAAAGGAATTTCCAAGTAACTGTACTTTGATACACAACAAATAAATCTTTAGTTCACCTTAGCTTCAGCTAATGCTGTTCTCAACGACTGGCTCTCTTCTCGAGCTCGATTTCTTTCGTTCCGCACAGTGTTCCACTTCTGTCGCCAGGATGCTGTACACTCAGACCACCAACGCATCGTCTTTTCCATCTGCGCTGCTCGCTGTCGAGCCTCATTAAGCTCCTGAAGACGAGCAACCTCGCAAGCATCCCAGTCTGTATGTCGACAGCGACCGGTAGTCGGCAAAATTCTCAACGATTCTGCAACTAGTTGGTAAAAAATATCTTGCTCTGCCGGAAGCTCATAAAATTACCTACGCTAATGTGTATTTCAACAAAGCAAGTAAGCTCGGATTCCCATACCAATTCCTCCGTTGATTTTCCGATACGATTTTAATAAATCACATGACTCATTCATTTGTTTCGGTGGTAAATTGGTGCTAGTATGCCGAGAAGTTAAATCCGCCATCAGCATCTTATAACGATTTTTTAGCCCACATTAGGTTAAAAAATTTTGTTGGCTTTAATAGAGTTTGGAACAGGTAATAAATTTTGCTTTCGATTCAAAATTTGTTTTGCAAAAATTGTAATTTTTGAAAGATAATTTAATTAAAGAGGGATATAAGGCAAACGAGGATGCAAAAAAACCATCTGCTTCGGTTTAGTGGTCCAGTATGTCTTTACTCCAGGTCTTTCTATTACACACATTTATGTGTACATATGTATACATATGTTAATTTGTTGAGCCATATATACAAATTTGCTCCAGTAGCTGTGATTTCTTCCTGTTTCTACGTATAATACTCTTCCCGCATTTTTGCCTTTTTACTTTATTTTTGTTCACTTTTATCTACAGTTACTTACTGAGCAAAAAGAACGAACCTCCAATGTCAAAATAGCGATTATGTATAGAAGCATCCATGGGTGTTTGCTTCGTCATTGTTCGGAATAAGTTGAGGTACAGACGACAGAAACTGGAGGATGAGGGGCGCAAGAAGATTCTTGTGGACCATTCACTTCAAGTTGTATTGGGCAAAACACGAAGGCTTTCTGGGGATGTAACAGGAGGTGAGGCTCACCGAAGTGAATGAAGGGGGAGAGAGGTGGGTTGCGGAAAATGAGGGAACACCTGACACCAACCATCAGCAGCTGCAGCTTGGTTCGACGTCAAATGCATTCTTAGTTTGAGCTTTAGCTTCTATTATATAGCAATTAAGCCTGCACACAACTTTCTCCCAACTATAAATGAGAGTTTTGGCCAGGTTGCTGTTTTCCCTTTGTGCACCAAGTGAATCAATATGAAATCAAGAACGAGCTATCGTCAGCATAAATCCAGCGATTGCAACCTGATGTTAGCCTCATATATCCAGGGATCAGTTTGAAACTTAATTCTTTGTTTTTGCAAGTCCACTTCAGTTGTTTGGAACTCAGGATCTTATAAATGTAAATATGGATGTTGCGCATTAGTGAGTGGTACCTGAGAGAAGAAAATTGATTACTTAAGCGGCTCCCGAAGAGATGGCACAAACGCACAGAGGCGGCAGCGGGTACTTACTAAAAGTTACAACACGGGTACTAACTGGAAAGTCTGACAGAGCTATAGGATTGTCGCAGTAACATCACAAGCACGAGATACTTAGCCTGAACAGCCTTAGTACTCGTGGTACTATATTTCATGCATTTCATATAAAAGCGTACGTGTTGCATATTTTTCAGACTTCACTATTCACTACTTCGCCTGCTAGATATGTCAGCGCTAACATTATAGCGAGACATTTTTTTTTTTTTTTGTATTTTTACTGAAGAATTTGTGAGATCTCCCACGTATTTGCATGAAGTAGAATAGCGAATTTATGGGAGATCTCACAAGCTCTTCAATAAGAATACAAAAAGTGACAGAGGCCCAAAATAGAGAAGAATGGAGAAGCTGCCAGTTGCATTTGTGGTGAGAATGAACAGGATGGATGCTTATTAAAATTTCTAAATAACTGAGAGATGATAGATCATAGAAGGCTTTTGAAAATTTCATTTCACATCCAAAAGAAACTATAGCAGTATGAGCATGAGCAATGTTTAAAATTTACCAACATAACAGCAAACTTTTTGGTCAAATTAGTAAATTTTTTATCGAATATCTGATATTTCCTGAAACAAATCAGTCAAAATTTCTTTGGGCAGGATCTCTGATCCATGTGATTTTTTTCAACATCGCAAAAGCGTTCATCATTGCAGAAAAATGCTAAAAAATTTTTTTAAAAGATTTTAAAATCGTTTTAAAAACATATGGCACACATTTTAATTTTTTTCGCTGAAAAATGTTCATCTTCCTGCAAATTAATAATGCACTTTGTTACACATAAGTGGTGGCAGTGATAAGTGACAAGATCGATGTGTGCGTACGTACAGAAAAAAATGATCAAAGAGCGTATAGCACCAAAGGAAAATAAAATGAAAAATTTGGGTTTTTAAGACATCTCAGAAGCCAAGACATCACTTTCCCGCATTTATATTTTATCGAAAGAAACCCGAGCGGTAATATCAGCAGCAATCAGTTAGTGGCAAAACTATCAATGTCTTTCTCTTTCGAGAACGGATTAGAAGCAAGCTGATTTGCGCCAGTGCCAATTTACCATCGAAACGAATAAGCAAGTCTCAAAGGGACTGGTGTCTCA